TTCAGGAGGATTGGATTTCAATCCATGTGCCGCAACCCGTTTACTTTGTATTTCTTGTAGACCTTCTCTGATTAAATCACAGTACTCAGATTCTTCAAGATTGTCAATCAGAGCTCGATTCTCTTCTCCCATTTTAGAGATTTCACCATGTTTATTATCTGCAGACTGGCTCCTGTTTCCAGTATAGGACATGGCTCTGGCCATACGTTCTTCAAACTGCCCTTGCAAACCAGACAAGCTATTACCCTTGGTTTTCTCCTGTGATACCTTTTTCTTCATGGAATTAGATTTCACTAGTCCTTTATGTTGGCCTTCTGCAACATTTTTTTTGTGCTGCCTAGCGCTGAGCTTGATTTGTTTTCCACTGGCAGTCTTGCTTGCTTCTAAAGCGTGTGAATCACCGTCAGTAGAATCTTCATCAGCTACATGTTGTGGTGCACTTATAGCCTCATTCAATGGAAAGGACTCTAATGAATGCCGGCGTGAGCAATTTCCCTTGAGCTCCATTGGGGAGAACTTACTATTTTTCTTCAATTCAACAGATCGTTTAGCCTGAAGAAAGTTTTCTATATCAAAACCTAACTTTTCTACAATTGTATTCCTCTCTGCAAGGTCATTCTGAGCTTCTGCTATCTTCATTTGCATCCGTTCATCAAGCCATGCTTCTGAAAGATGGAGAATTAGTCTGTCAGAGCTGGTCATACCACTGTGATCCTTCTCAGGATTTTGCTTCAGGGATCGCACCTCTTGTTCGTACTCTTTTATTCCATTTGCAAACTCATCACACAAGTTTTCCAATAGGATACGCGCTTTTCTCTCCCTTTCAAGCTCCCTCAAAGCATTAGAGAAAGAAGATTTCACTTCAGAAATCTCTCGAGCTAGCTTCCGATGCAGGCTTTCTGAATGCTTTCTCAACTTCCTCTCACCTTCTAGCTCATCCCTGAGCAATTGGACTGTAGCTTTGATCCGATCCTGGTCCTTATTTTTCCAAACAAGTTTATTTTCTGTAACATGCTTCATCAAGTCGTCCATTTCTCGCCTATCTGATTGCTTCTCATGCAACAACACTTCAATTTTTGCCTGAGAATGATCTAGTTCCATCTTCAGTGCTTTTACCAATGCTATATTGGATGCATGCTGTTCTTCAAGAGTCCAGATACGATTGAGCACTTTGAGTAATTCTGTGGATGTTTTAAAGCTTCGACTTGACTCACCCATCCTTCCCTTATAAGGTGCCACCTATGAAAATCAAAGGATACTTGAGTCCATCAAACCAGCAGATAACAGAGCTTTTACCTCTCACTTGATTAGGTGAAAGAAAATACCTCAAAACATCATTCCAAATGTATTAGATGATATCATTAATATTTTATACTCCAAAGTTCTGTCTTGAATATCTGTAGTTACATAATACAATATCACTATATTGTCGTTCCAAAACATTTCTACTCAGCATAGAATCTCGACTTCTATGAATTCTTTGAGCAAACAGTTCATATTTTAATAGAGAAAGCTCTGTATTACTTTACATTGTTGTCTACTTATCAGTTGATTCTCTTAAGGGCATCCAGGAAGATGCACCATTAAGTTACATTTTGAGTAATCACTCCCAGAATTTACAATGAATCAGCCTTCTAAAATTTAATGTCAGTGAAAAGAAGCACTTTCAAAGAATTGGAAAGTCAGCTCTTAATCCACATTGTAAATATTGTTGAATTTGTAAGACTACTTGACTCATGGTATCTTCTTTCTATTCTATATATAAGTTATTTAAGAAGAAGTAGGCTATAGAAACAATCTCTTTTTTTTCCTTTTCACAAGAGGGACTCTTTTTCTTATTCAGAACAAGAGCGACATAATTACTCACCTCCATTGAGCTACTACAACTAGCAGGAGGTAGGGGTTGTAGAGCACAACCATCGCTCTCAACTGATTGATGGTGTTGTATCAGTGATGCTGGTACAAGCCTCCCCAAGCTGCTTGCAGTTGCTGGCTGGAATGAGACAAAGGGCAAGGATCAATGATTAAATCGAAACATACAGAAAAACACGAATTCGGATACACAAAGTCTAGCAGCTTGAGGAGCAAAAATTAGATCAGAGCTCTCAAGCCATACACAAAGTCTAGCAGTTCTTCCCAACATTACAAACTTCTCCTAGTGTTACTGCTGCATAATCATTCCATCAAGATAGTTCTATGCCAAAGACATTAACCTTGAGAATTAAACTTAGTAATGCAACCACTTATAATGTTGCTTCTGAGAAAGAAAAAAAAGAGAGCCATATTTGCTCCCGGAAGAAGAAATTCAAGTCCAAATAACTAAAGAAAACCACAAAGTCAACATCAAACACTTCCCAAAATAACACACATTAACATTGTATAGATACCTGGTGGTGATGAAGTGAGTTAGTAGGAGTGTCAAGCCCGATCGGATGCTTGGGAAGCTCAAACCCATTTCTCTTCTGGTGCTTGTGTCGAAGTCTAGCTCCTGCTTTGCTCATTTGGGCAAGTGGGTTATGCTGGAACTGATAAGACTCAATTTCCCAGAGGCTGGAACAGAGCTTTCTAGCAGAGAGTGAAGTTGTGGGGTGAAGGTTGAGAAATTCAGAGCTGGTTTTGTTGTTGCTGTTGTTATAAAACTCATCAAGCCTCCAAATAGGTGGTGGCGTGCTACAGAGCCCTCCTCTTTTCCCTACCAATACACCGCGTTTCAACTTTTTCACCATTGATGATCCTTCTTGCTTTTTTCTTTCACTTTCCACACCCTTTTCTTTTCTTTCCATCTCTCTCTCTCTCTCTCTCTCTCTCTATTCAAAATTCAATCTGTGTGAGCTTCTAAGCTCTTTCACCCACGTTTTTGTTTTTCCTTTTTTTGGGAGCATCAAGATTACTAGGTTGCTTCTTTCTTTTTTTCTCTCTCTCTCTTTTTCCTCAAAGCTACAGACTGGGGCTTGCTTGCACTGCTCTGTCCTACATATTTTGCATCTCTATTTTCTAAGTGAGCATTGAGTTTTATGTTTTCTGTTTCTTTGTCCCCCGATTTACCCCGAAAGCTTATACACCTCAGCGCTAATATGCCAAGGAAATCGGGACAGGGGCCTTCAAAACTGGGCCCGCTGATTCTAACACTTATCATGTTTTTGTTTTTGTTTTTTTAAGTAAAAACAAAAAGACATTTGAAATTTTTTTCTCAAATACAACTGTTAAATAGTGATTTATTTTATTTTATTTGTCATATGTTAAATAGTATTATCTGAGAGCATTTTCCCAAAAAAAAAAAAAAACTGTTGTTTTTATTTGTAAACTTTGCCATTTGAGCACTGTTAGGATCTAAGGTTGCATCCTTAAAAGTTAAAACTAAGGACCTCCCCTAAACAAATGAGGTTTTACACTTGTCAATTTCTTTTTCTTTTTTCGGAAATTATTTTATTATTTTGAAATTGAACAAGTGTCCATATTCTATTTATTTTAAGGATGAGTTCCTCCTATTTTTAAGGAACTAAACTTTGTTCATCATAAATTAAGATTCTTAGGACTTCAAGCCCAAGTATCCTTTAATAAATTTATCTCATACATTAAAAAGCACTTTAGGTAGTTCTAGGTTAAGCATGTATGATCTTTTATTTAAATTCTAAATGAACTTTGACATTAGGAGAATTCACTTGGTAATATCTTAAAATATGAAGAGAGAAGTATTATGCATAGGAAAATACTTCCCTCCTTATCATGTAAATAGGAGTCCCTACATTTTTGCCAATAGCAATGTGATATGTGTGCAGAAGTTTTTCTTTTTGTGTTTTTTATGAATTATTTTTGCATATATGTCAAATTGTGATTCGCATAAAAGAGGAGTATCTCCTTACACGGAAGAAAGCAAGTGCATATGACAAACTAATTTTTTTTTTTACTGTATTTTCTTTTGTCTCTAGCTCTATATTTACTCTTTTCACTTCCCTCCTATTTTATCTTCTTAAACTTTGATTTACCAAGAATTCGCAAACTCCCTCACATGCATATCGACATTTTTGTGGGCCCTAGGGCTAAAATAAAAGGCTGCAATCATATTGTTAGTCCATTTTCAAAACTTTCACTCACATGGTAAGATAACAGATGATCTTGACTCTTCTTGAGAGAGAAATGACAAGATATGCATAGCATACAATGCGGTGGTCCTTTTCTTGCTTTCATGATCTGCCCTGCATAGGGACTAGGCTACTTTGAGTTTGTTAATAAACAAATATTATTAAGTATAATCATGGCTGGCTAAATATCTCTTATGGGGAAGATTAAAAGGAAATTAAGCTCTTAACCATGCGGATTATGGTCACTTGGTCATTGGGGAAGCATGCTGTCCACAGCATTGTAATCTGGGGCTTTTGACATAACCATAGCTGAAGCCAAAATCTTAGCTCTGGTGACTGGTCCACCAGGACCAGACCAGTCAGAACAACAAGGCCCCAATTTGTGGTCCTTAGCCTATCTGCAATATGCCAATAGGCTTTATGTTTCTTTATTCTTCTAGTTGTGTTTCTGCTTTTTTTCTGCAGGCAACAAGTGTTTAGCTTAGGATTTTTTGGTTAGCAAGTTTCCAACATTAAATATAACACCACTTCTCCAGTGCACCTAGAACTTGGAAACTAATTGAATTTTCATAATAGAAGGACCACCAAAATCATAATTGGACCACTTGTGTGGTTGGGTTTTGTTCTTGACTGAATGTGGTCCAAGGGCTTGCTTTTGGTAAACATCTACAAACATCCCATTTTTGTTATCCAACATGGGCAATGATTAGGCCTCAAAGGGTTACAGTAACATGGGACTTCTTCTTTTTATTCCTTGTTTTTGTAAATTGTACCTTCCAAGTTTATTTCACACTTTTTTGGGTGTTTCCATGTTACAGAGATTGGATTTGCCTGTGATTTTGAGGCTAGTAGTTTGAACTTGGCCTCCTATGACATATTGACAGATCATATTGAAATCTGTAGCAAGAAAGAATAGTCTACGATGAACAATATTACATGAGAGTTTATGATCATATGAAATTTACAGAAAGAGATTTACAGGGAAGGATCGTCTCGTATGAACAATGGCATGCAGTAGTCCACTTATGAACAATATTACTTGAAGGTTTCAGTGAAAGTTTATGATCACATTGAAATTTAAAGCAAGAATTGTCTATATGAACAACTTGTGCATAATGCCGTGCGGCGTGCCCCTTCATCGATCTTCATTTTTTCTTTATCTTTAGAACTATCATTACTTCTCACTCCTACTAATGCATCAAGCTATATTTTCTACCTCATGCACAAAATGTGACATTCCGATCCTGAGATTGCCGACACGAGTAGTAGAGTTCTTGGTGTTGATCTGAAGCATCTCCTCTTCACTAAGTTTTCTAAAATAATCGACTAGCGCAATCTTCGACTATCCTGTGGCTGAGTCCCTGTCAAAAACATATTTAGAGTTATGCTAAGAACTCTTCACATTATTAATGATGTGTCTAGATATAGAAACCCTTCGTAGTTACATTGTGTTACATGAAAGGTGAAAATTATTACAAACTAAACACCAATATGTGTGCCTCCAGGCATGCACTCAGTGAAAATCTACCAGAGTTTCAGACATTTGAGTTTTGTTAGGTTTGAGAGCTGACTCATGGAAAAGCACTGCATATTGGCTCCATTGCTGAAGGGAGGCCCCATTGAAAGTAAGGCCCAATGTGGCCTGAGCAGGTCTAATATGAATCTCTCCTTGTTTTTTTGGAGTCTAAGGGTAACATGAATCTGTCTATAAAAGAAATCTAAAGGTTAGATTGTTAAGGAACAGAAAGAACCTACCTGTTGTGATCAAACTAATCTGACTCTTCAGGCAGAAATATTGCGCTCAGAAACTCTTGAAAGCGAGAAGAATAGGCTTTGGGATTCACAGTCTTGATGGATTTTGAGTCATATTTTATTGCCTTGCAAGCATGCTCAATGCGCTTTTTCATATTGTAATTCTGACAAAAATCTACTATTCCAAAGATTAAAAGAACCTTGAAGCATTCCTGTGCACTGGTGCACGACCTATATGATTTACTTTCCATTGCATTCCTGAATGCCCGGACAGCACGTGCTGGCAGTCTATCCCCAAATTTAAACCCAGGCCTGCAGCGGAAGAATAATGAGCTATGGATCGTCAGTTTTATGTTGAACATCTATCTATGAATTTGTAATTACAGGTTTTTCATAATCCTTATTAAAGGTATAATAATTTGATTTTTTTTCCTCTATGAAACTGTTTTGTACCGACTACCAACGAAACCATCCAAAATGAAGAAAATGAAGCTGTGACAAGTAAACAACGGATCAGCAGCTGAGTTGGCAAAAAATATGGTTGGAAGTTTGTTAGGTCGTTTTGTTAGTTAGAAATGTTACCTAAGTTGTAAAGCCACTTTGTTGTATCATTAGAACAGGGGTTATACTAACAGATTTATTGAAGAAATAGTAAGATCATTGTGGCTCTGCTAGAGAGAGAAGTCCAGTCATCCCTGTTCCATTTCATTTCTATCATTTTTTCATTTACATTCCAACTACAGTCAGGGCTTAAGCCTTGACAAATTAGTATCAGAGAAGTAAAGCTGTTCGTCCTCGATGCCAAAGAAAGCAATGGCAAATTACTGCAGATTTTCACGAATGTAGACAGGAATTGAAATGGGAAGAATCGTGGGCCTTCTGCCATTGCTTTATTTGGCATCCAGGACGAACCGCTCTGATACTAATTTGACAAGGCTTAACTCTGACAATAGTTGGAATATAAATGAAAGAAAGAAAGAAATGAAATGGAATTGTGAATGACTGGAATTATTGTCAAATATAGTGTAATTGAGAGAGTAAAGAGTGAGGAATAATAGATGTTTTGCAGAGAATTCTCCCTTATCTCTTTGTATTGCTATCATGGAGATATTTATACACAATGTAGAAAGGGTAACTATTAGTTACAAACAAGTATACAAAACCATGGAGCATTTCCAGGATTTGTGTCTCCCTAAAACATGGAAAATGTAAACATACCTAACTAAGACTTGCCTAACTATGACTTGCCTAATTATGACTTGCCTAACTTACTTGCCTAACTTACTTGCCTAACTCTTATGACTTGACTAACACTCCCCCTCAAGTTGGTGCAAAGATATCACGCATGCCCAACTTGTCAAGTGAGGCATAGAAAACTTTACTTGATACGGCCTTTGTCAGAATGTCGGCAAGTTGGTTTTCCGAGTTTACAAACGGAAACTTAATTATACCACTTTCAAGCTTTTCTTTGATGAAGTGTCGGTCGACTTCCACATGTTTGGTACGGTCGTGTTGTACTGGGTTATGTGCTATCTCGATAGCAGCTTTATTGTCACAGTACAAGTTTGTAGCTTTTAAGGGTTTAACTCCAAGATCCTTCAGTAATCTCCGTAACCAGAGCAATTCACACACTCCTTGAGCCATTCCCCTGAATTCTGCTTCAGCACTTGATCTAGCCACAACTTTTTGTTTCTTACTTCTCCAAGTGACTAAGTTGCCACCCACAAATGTAAAGTATCCAGATGTAGACCGTCTATCTGTGATGGATCCTGCCCAATCAGCATCTGTGTATCCTTCCGGGTACATATGTGTATGTTTGGAGAACATTAATCCTTTTGCAGGGGCAGCCTTCAAGTACCTCAGAATCCGAGTTACTCCATTCATGTGTGTCTCACTCGGTTGATGCATAAACTGACTCACCATACTTACAGCATAAGCTATGTCGGGCGTGTGTGTGACAGATAGATCAGTCGCCCAACTAACCTTTGATACCTTTCTTTGTCAGTGGGTACTTGATCTGGATACATCCCTAACTTGTGGTTCTGCTCAATAGGTGTGTCAGCTGGCTTGCAATCAAGCATTCCAGTTTCTGTTAGCAAATCTAACACATATTTTCGTTGGGATAGAAATATGCCATGTTTTGATCTAGCAACTTCTATGCCAAGGAAATATTGTAACTCACCCAAGTCCTTCATCTCAAATTCACTAGCAAGGAGCTTCTGCAGATTCTTCATTTCTTCATTGTTATTACCGGTAACCACCATATCATCAACATAGATGATGAGGGCCGTCAGTTTGTTACCACGACGCTTTAAGAATAAAGTGTGATCCGAGTGACTCTGAGAGTATCCAAAACGCTTCATGGAATCAGTGAATCTTCCAAACCAAGCTCGTGGCGACTGCTTGAGCCCATATAGTGATTTTTTCAGCTTGCAAACGGTGTTGGGACCGAATGTCGTAGAGATCCCTGGTGGTGGTTCCATATACACTTCTTCTTGCAAGTCCCCGTGAAGGAACGCATTCTTTACATCATACTGCAGTAGTGGCCAATCAAGATTTGCAGCCAATGACATTAGAACACGAACAGTGTTGATCTTGGCAACAGGTGCAAATGTCTCATGGTAGTCAATTCCATATGTTTGTGTATACCCTTTGGCTACTAATCGAGCTTTGTATCTGTCTATGGATCCATCAGCTTTGTATTTAACAGTGTATATCCACCGACATCCAACTGGTTTCATCCCTTGTGGTAACTGAACCATCTCCCATGTAGAATTCTTTTCCAGAGCTTCCATTTCAATTGCCATTGCTTCAGCCCATCTGGAATCTGTTATAGCATCCTGCCACTTATTTGGAACACATACAGTAGATAATTGATTGACAAATGATGCATATGACTTTGACAATCTATGAGTTGAAACATGGTTATTAATGGGATATTTAGACTTGGCAGCAAGGTCAGGACAATATTGAGGTTTGGGTTTTCCTCTAGTGGTCCTAGGTGGGAGAGTGTATGGTATAGGATTAGGTGGTTCGGGAATTACCTCGAGTGTTTCTTCATCACGAGACGATTGGTCCGATGGTTGAGAAGAAGGGGTTGTATTTTGTAGTTGATCACAGCAAACATTTGGATTGTCATCTCCGGGATCTTCACCAAATAAGAACGATAATGTTTCTGTACCTTCATTGCTGTCCAGATATCCAGTTTCAAGTCTTGTCATCCATACATCACTAGTGCCAATGGAGTTCCTTCTAATGTTGCTGGTGAAGGAACTATATCACTTTCCCCTTCCTTATCTTTATCTCATACACTACTTGTTCCCTCCATCAATTGCAATTTGCTGTCTGTTGGAAAATTACTTGACTCACATAATTGTTATGCCACATTCTATCCTTCCCATTGTATTTTTCAGGACCTCACGACTCACGCGACGATTGGGCATGGTAAACGAAGAGGGGGGTTGTATTCCTTGACGGTATCTCCACCACCAAGGGCAGCTCATACTCATAGTTCCAGCTCACAAGCTCGAAATCAACACCAGATTTGGCTCTGGCATCGTCGTCTAGGGCATCCATCATTTGGCTATCTTCAACGTTTGTTTCCGTCTTTGTTTCGTGGCTTAGATAATCACCAGTTTCAGTGTGAAACCTGTGTATTGGCCAAAAGCCATCGAACTGTTTTTCCCTTAAGTGATAATAAGACAGAATTTCCTTTTGATTTGGTTCACTCTGATGTTTGGGGTCCTGCTAAAGTCTCTTCCAATGGCAAAAGATGGTTTGTTACATTTATTGACGATTGCACTCGCATGACTTGGGTATACTTACTTGCTCATAAAAGTGATGTTTCCGCTGCAATCCGTGAATTTCATGCTATGATTACCACACAATTCCAAGCCTCCATCAAAGTATTCCGGTCTGATAATGGTGGGGAATATGTGAACAAGGTCTTGGAACAATTTTTTCGAGACCACGGCATCATTCATCAAACCTCCACACCTTTTACTCCACAACAAAATGGTGTCGCAGAGCGAAAGAATCGACAATTACTTGAGGTTACTCGTGCTTACATGCTGGATAAATCGGTCCCTCACTACTTATGGGGACATGCCCTCCTTTCTGCAGTCTATGTCATTAATCGAGTGCCTAGTAGTGTTTTGAAGTTTGAAACTCCACTGAACACCTTGGCTCGTCACGTCTCTCTTCCTACAGTCCTCAAGTTGCCTCCTCGCATATTTGGTTGTGTTGTATATGCTCATGTTCCATCTCATCAAAGAAGTAAACTGGACCCTTGTGCCATTCGTTGTGCGTTCGTTGGGTATGGATCAAATCAAAAAGGATACAAGTGTTACCATCCTCCTACTCGCAAGCTCTTTGTCACTATGGATGCCACATTCCATGAAGATTTATCATACTTTAAAACTGTTACGCCCCCTTCTCTTCAGGGGGAGAGGAGGAATGAAGAGAAGGAAAACAAGGCTCAAGAAGAAAATCAAGTCTGTTCAAAAGCGACCGGTCGCCCGGATCTTCTTCTACCACAAGTGCATAAGCTTCAATGACTGCTGGAAGCGGGTTCATAGCAAGAATCCGACTACGAACGGAATCAAAGTTGGGATCGAGTCCTCCCAAAAAATCGTACACACGTTCAACTTCAAGTGCTTGTTGATGAAGAGCCACATCATCGGGATTGGTATGTTTGCAGGGACGGAGGCTGTCAATTTCCTGCCATATGATGTGTAACTTTTCATAGAAGACATTCACAGGCTCACCATTTTGAGAGGTGGTGACGGACTGGCGACGGAGTTGGTACAACTTGGAGCTATTCTGAGTAACAGTGTAAGTCTTCCGAGATGCATCCCACACCGCATAAGCCGTTGAGCAATGGTCAAATAAGGCACGTACATTTTTGGTCATGGAATTGAGGAGCCATGACTGCACCAAACAGTTGTCTTCATCCCAAGTTTCATAGCTAGGATCATCAATGGCAGGTGCAATTTTTTTACCATTAATGAAACCAGCCATACGACGAGCAGTGATGGCCAAGCGAACACTACGAGACCATGCAGGATAGTTGGACCCATCCAACTTATCAGGAGTAATTTGAGAGTAATCATGAGAGGACCGGAGTGGTGGAGTTGTGGAGTCGCTTTTGGTGGAGTCGATCTTAGAGGAGTCGGCAGTGGAGTTGGTGGTGTCTTCCATGAGGTAAATAGGTGAAGAGATTGATGCTGGGAAGAGGAAAAGTTGGTGCTGGAAAATTGGTACAGGAAAGAGGTAAAGAGATGCAGCGGAAGATAGCTTAGAACTTCAGCAAACAAGAGCACAATTTTCAGCAAAGTGTAGAGGCAAGGCAAGGGTAGAGGTAGGAGCAATACAGCAGCAAAGTATGAGCAAGGGTAAGTAGAGATTAGGCAAGGATAAGGTTATGCAGAGGCAACCAAAATCGATTGCTCTGATACCATGTCAAATATAGTGTAATTGAGAGAGTAAAGAGTGAGGAATAATAGATGTTTTGCAGAGAATTCTCCCTTATCTCTTTGTATTGCTATCATGGAGATATTTATACACAATGTAGAAAGGGTAACTATTAGTTACAAACAAGTATACAAAACCATGGAGCATTTCCAGGATTTGTGTCTCCCTAAAACATGGAAAATGTAAACATACCTAACTAAGACTTGCCTAACTATGACTTGCCTAATTATGACTTGCCTAACTTACTTGCCTAACTTACTTGCCTAACTCTTATGACTTGACTAACAATTATCTCTGCAGCAGAGCCTCAATGGTCATATTACTTCTTCAGTGAGTTAGTTGTTGCAACCCCGGTCTATTTATACAGTTCAGTATATTTACAATTGACATAACAGTAATGAAAAACAAAGCTTAGCAAACTTCCAACTTGTGTTTTTGCCAATTCTTTCATTTTAGCACAATTCTATGTCAACTTGAAGTGGGTACTCATTTTGGCCCTATATTTACACCAAACAGATTGATTATGCGGCAATACAATATACCTGTCAAGTAGATCGCAGATATCGGCAAGAGTTAACTCTGAGCTTTCATTTTGTTCTGAAGTATCATCTGTTTTCTTTTTGGCACTAGAACTTCTGGAAGCGTTTTCATCAATTGAACCTGACAAAGGGGAGATAGATTTTTTACACTTACTGCTAGCATAATTTCAAAGACCGATGACAGATGAGTGGAGAAGTGTAGCAGTAAGACATCATCTTTGCAAATAATTCTTCACTAAATGTGCAAGTTTTAAGTACAAAAAAAAAATAGAGAGAGAGAGAGAGAGAGAGAGAGAGAGAGAGAGAGAGAGAGAGAGAGAGTGAGAGTGTGTGTGTGTGTGTGTGTGTGTGTGTGAGTGAGTGAGTGAGAGAGAGAATGAAAAGATACTATAAAATATGCAGATTAGCAAAGAAAGCCACAGTATGTCTGGGGGGCAACATCACAAGGAAGCAAGGAAAAGAGATCACAAACACATGTACACAACAATACAATCAGAAAAGGTAAGAATTGAGAATCAGGACAAACACACATCTTGAACTCCTGAATGGATCCTACAAAATAGGTATAAAAATTCAAGTAAATGAAAATTTTGACAACTGAACATACCTTAAACAAATTGTAAGATATAAATACCTGCTTCATTAGGGGTGCACTAATGATCAATCTTATGTAGCATATATTTGAAAGAGTTGAATCAACAAGAAGAATCAATCATATGTTCAACTGATGAAAGAATATGCATTTCTAACACAATATTAGAACAACGACAAGAACATGAAAACAAAAATACCATCACACTTCTTTTAAATTTTGTACTAGTTTTTCAGTGTATGGTCACTGTACTCTCATATTTTAGAATTTCCTTATCTGCATATATTTGCATGATACAAAATATCTATGCATCTTATGAAACTTAAACCCTCACTAAGTCAGAGAGGACTACTAATGTGAAGAATCACCTTCATGTGAAGCTTCTATGTGTATACCAAGCAAAAAACTATAATCCATGATGCCCTCAGCTTCCAAAAACTCGCAGTCATACTTGACTTGTCTATAGAAACAAAAACAACAAATAAAAGACGTTAATAAGGAAAAGAAAAAGGGATTCATATGTCAGGAAGCAAAAGGGTTTATGCATGCTTTTTATCTAAATTTTGTATTCTGAGATAAGTCATTTTTTTTAGGAACGTGATAAGTTTTGTTTTTATTATTATTATTCAAGGCCAAAGGCCAAAGACTTTATTCATCAATAGAATGCAGAGAACACAAATCATCCTGAAGATAAGAGTGAAGCCAGCTAGGCCCCTCTTCCATCCAGTTACATGTCTCATTACAAGATAAAGCAAATTTGGCTAATTGGCTAGGCCCCTCTGTATAAGATACCACCGGCTAAATCCATTAAGCTCATAATGTCTAACTAGGACTAGGTAATTACTTAGAAACAGTACTGTACAATGGAATGCATTTCCAATTTAATAGTTTGTGAATGCACTCTTCAAACTAATGTTAATCTCCTTTTACATCCATAGAAATTATCTTGGCTAGATAACAATGTCATTTTTGGTCTACCTGTCAAATAACAATGGCAATATTATGGACTCAAATTTTTATTTTTATTTTTGGAAATGAGATACAAATCAGATAATTTGTGGAGCAGCTGCAGCGCAAAATAGAGAAGTAAAGTTTCTTGATTCAGAAGATCTCTAGACATCCAATAGGTAAAAGAAGTGAAAACAATATTATTTTTTTCGTGTACCTCTGAAAGGTTACGATGGCAACATGGCCTGAACAATTAAAAACAACAAAAACAAACAGGCAATTACTGAAACAGATGCAGTACATAACAGAAAAGAAAGTTTGCTCATTCAAAACTTCTTCCAAACTTCTATTTTAAGTAATGAATTAACCAAAAAATAAAACAAATAATCAAAGAGGCTATCCAACTCAAAGTATAGATTATTCATTAACATCCAAAAAGTTCAAACTAGACTCAAGTTTTATGCATAAAAGTTTTCTTATACGTCGATTTGCTGAGAAATGACAAATAAACCAAGGGACTTACGCTAAGAGCCGAGCTCGGACTAATGGATCCAGGTAAAAGCAAAAATCAAAATCCAGATCCTTAAGTATGGCTCTATCCTCAACGATTGTTTTACTGCAGGCTCGGCCTATTGAAGAGCCTTTGAGATCATAACACTTATCTATGCAAATTTCTGATGGCATCATGTTTCCCCAAACAGCACAGTAAACCTGCTCATTAAAAAGCAACAATTGATTACAAGAAACTTGAATACAATAAAGGATCAATTTTGTTCAAGTAGGTTGGAATTTTCATGGTATAGCTCTTTTGAACACCCTCAATCTAGTGGGACTACCTGACATGGTGAAGGTAAATCTACCTGACATGGTACCTCCAGCCTTCTAGGCTACTCACATGCTATAAAGTTCTCAATTGGGGTTAACAATGCTAAGGTGAAGACCAACATAAGTAATTAATCACATGCATTTTTCCATATATAGTAAATGGTTATATAATATGCTAACTATACCAATCAAATTATATTTCATAAAATTTGAATTAAAAAAACTTCATTTCTGAACTACTGAGAAGATCATACCTTAATCCCTCCCGCTGGCCTGACAACATGAAGTCCATACAGTTTTATTAATAGTGAGGCCCGATACTTCTTAACATGGCAGTAGTAGTTTGGAAGCATCTCTAAGTATACCTATGTGAAAAGGTAAAGATAGTAAAATTCTTAGACTGCTAATAAAGATATAAAAGCAAAGGAAATTTCGCAATTCATAAATAAATTAATCTTTTGAAACACAAAAATGTGGACATAGTATGACTTAAGTCTGCGCTTTCTGATCGAACAACAAGAAAAACAATGAGAGAGAGGAAAATATATGGGGAGAGAATCCTTTCAGAAACAAGTAATAGCTACTAGTTTAACTCTTGTTCAAGTATTATTATTTTTAAATCAAAGAATTAACAAGTTCTCAACTTGCAGTATTCATATTAATACAAAAGGCAAAAAAAATTCCATGAAATGTGTATATGATTAATTGTTCGTTTAGTAAATTTCCATTCATTAATGGCCAAATGTCACTAGAAGTTTAGTTGGTTACCTTCAGTTCAGACTTCCGAAGGGTTTTAATCACAAATCGATTGTCATTGGATGATACAATTACCCTGCCATATCTTCCCGGTAAACAAACCTCCTTTAGAGTCCGATGTCCACATATTGACAGCTGATACTGGTCATAATCAATACTATCAAGCTCCAGCATACGTCTGAAAACAATCTATTGGTTACAGCTTTTGCAAAGTCGAAAAAAATTAGCAACAAACACAGGCATATATGAGCATATACTGTATACATATATGTGCACACACACACATATACGAACATGCATTAGAATTACATTAACTGCACATAATCATATCTTAAGGATAGACTTTTGCATGTTTCAATTTCTTTTCAATGTGCATCTCTTCACCTATTTTCATACCCTGTCTGACATAACTATTTTTTCTTGACCACTTTTTTCTCCAATGGGCCAAAATCATGTAAGCAAGTTTTAAGGGTTGAACTGACCAACCTCCAAGGTAGGGTTCAGATATGCACCTTAGTTTTACATTTCAGTATCTTCTATCGCTTTATTATATTAAATAGCATCACTCTTGCATTTTTGTTCTTGGTAAGCAGTGCACTAAATCGCTTGTAATAAAATGAACAGAAAAACTTGATAAATTAAATCTATTTGGACGAATAATTGCATTTGAAAGAAAATTAAAAAGAAACCTGAAAACTGCAGGACTGTAATCTTTCCATTCAAAGTCAGTTGTGATATAAGGAAGTTGTAGAAAGTCCTGTCTAGAATATTTTATGCTGTTAGTTTTAGTAGCTTTGAAGTCAGCTGGTGAAAACTCCTCTTTCAAAAGCTCCATGTGTTTTCCTGCAAAGTATCACATGTTACAAAGATGTAATGAGTGCTGAATATTGTACTTGTCAGCCATACATCACACTTTACTACATTATAGTGTGGCAACCTAATCAATAATTCAGATTCACAGTGTGGCAACATGTTATTCGTTTGCATAAAATGTACTGTTTTAAAGACAAAGTAATGCAACATAAATTTGATATACACATTTCTGCACTACAAAAAGAATTTGAATATGAGAATTAAACATGGCCACAAATCTGAAATGCTTTGGTTAATCTGTTGTAACTTATCTGTGATGTATATCAGAACAATTGACATAAGAGGTTATCATTTCTTTTTTGTGTTGGTCCACAAATACTGAACAACATCCTAGCCTTTCATTCAAAGTGACTTGTTATGCGCTGCAACATACTCATAACTCGTTCTAAAGCTATTCGTATCCGCATTGAGAAAGAGCACCATCTATCACAATGAAGCAGCTATTTTGCACCCTCCTACTTCTTTTTTTATTTTTTATTTTTCGATAACCTCCAACTTCCTTCATCACTTTCTTCAACATATTAATTGCAACGAAAAGAACTACTTTTATTCGAATAATCAAAACTATCATACAAATAATCAAAATTCATTGGAAGAAAAAAAAAAATGTAAACTTGATGCAAAATTGCAGATGGGGGTCTTCCTGTATCAGACATCATCAAACCAAAAGCTACAAAACCTACCAATCAAAAGAGAAAAATCCTAGAAACATGAGCTGACACATACATAACCAAAAACAAATTTCAGAAGATAAAAGAAAACCCTTCAGCAGGAACATTGAGTATGCAAAGATTTACCTTTGTCAGAAGAAATCCCTTTTTGGAATTCCAAGAATTTCCGAGGCAAATGAGAGAACAAGGGGGTTTGGTTTTTCATCGAACTTTTTGGCTTCTGCTGCATCATCATCATCAGTTCTAAAATTTCAGCTTTAGTAGTTGTTGTCATGGTTATGACAGAGAGGCGGAGAGGATTGCCCACCGGACTGTTTACTGAACCAAAAACCATTGCCCTTTTACGCGCGCGAGGATCATCTTAACCGAAATGCCGTTTCTGAAATATTAATGCCAGCAAAATTACGCGTCTGGTAACGACGTACCCCTTAACGGTCCTTTTTTTATTATTAATTTGACCATTTTGCCCTTGATTTTGATATGTTGAAAATGCTTATTGGATGTCTATCTTGGTCAAATCCTATGCAATATGTCCTAAGTTTCCAACTCAATACAAGTTAGAAGGTTTGATTGCTATGTTAATCCAATTGGTTAGTTCTTTTACAAAATTGTTAGGAATCTAATTTTAGTGGTAAAACATTTATCTTCCTATAATTACGGTAAAAGTTCGATTCTTATCTTCCCACTTTTCTAAATGTAGGGAAAAAAATAGTTACAAACATACTACAAGTATTGACTAGTAACCCTTCATCTAGAAGATAATTTGTGTTCGAATTGTATGCTTAAATTGCCAAAAGGCTTCCCTCGTACTGTCGAGGTTTTTTTTTTAAAAAAAAAACTGTCAAAAGGCTAGCCAATGAATTGCCAACCCTTTTTACTTTAAAAAAAATTCAGTTATATATATGTTCTTAAAATATTACCCTACTTGTAATGTGTTTTTATTATAATTCATAGAGAATTCTTGTCATCCCATGAATGGACCATTGGACATATTTTACAAAAAGAGATGATGGGTGCCACCCTATTGGCTTATTGATTGTAATGATCTCATTGGGTGTTTTTGATCCTAATGTTTTGAACTTGTCCTCTCTTCTATTTGAACAAATATCATTATCATACAGTGAATTATATACATTGTGAAATTAAATTTCAATGGGTGATTAAAATAGAAACATACAAAACATACAGCTATGAAGATGGAGATGTCTCTAGAACATAAATTGTTTTTTTAAAAATATATTTATTTAAAAAATATAGGGAGATTCTAGCCACTGAATTCCAAATCTCAAAAATCAGATTCATTGAAAAGCCAAGGGATTTGAATATGATTATTTTGCAGGTTTTTATATTTGGTAGTGGGCACAAGCATTTGGGCCACAAGGCAATGTCCATTTAGACAAAAGCAGCATTAGAATTCATAAAATCACAATCTTCCATCGTCACATCTCCACCAAACAAAATCTACCTCCACTAAACCAAAGTGTTCATCTTCGTCACTTCTCAACCAACCCACGCAAGGCAAAGCTGGCTTAACTGTTAACTCCCACTTTTTAAAGGGCAAAATACCACATTAAATTCTTAATTATTTTACGTGGAAAACACATGGTTTTGCGGAAAGATATGATGCTTGAAAGCTTGGTTATTGACTCATTGCCAAAAAATGATCAATTACCTCTTGCTAGGAAAACATCTCCAAAACCATGGCCCCTAGAAATCAAAGTGCCCCTAATGGTTTTATGAATTTTGCGAGTATCAGTCGTCCACCACGCTAGGAGGTGAAATCATGTATCAATAATCAAGATTATCTCACGCATAGGTAGGCGACTAACCGTACCTCGTGGTTATATATGTGTAAAAGAGTCGCATAGAGATGCAAGAGTTAAAATCTAAAGAGCATGATAAGGAGTTTGTCAGATTTTTGTGGTAAAACCAAGTTCCTTACAGGTCATGATTGTAGCAGAAAGAAATGCAAGCACATAGATTTAATGTGAATAGGAGTACACGTCAGGAACTCATGATTGTATTTACCAGAGTGGCCTTTCCAATGCAAAGAATAATATACCCATGACCATGAATAATGAGCAGCTTATCTGCAGGTACATTATACGACTTTCAAAACACAGATGTTGTAACTCAAACTAGTGGGAAAACAAAACAAAGGTGAAACACAGGGATTTCAGGCAAAACAATTTGCACCACCACATCATATCAATCCACAAGGAAACATATCAGGGAGAAATTTCAAGCCTCGGTTCAAAACAAAAACCAGTAAAGAGCTGAAGTGGAAACCTCTTTGTTACCGGGCACTTCTGTGACCATCTCCAATGTCTCTGGCTCATGTCAAAGACAAGAAGAGATGGAGCTCCATAGCTCTGGATGTATATAAGATCATCTGTGCCGCTGCTGGCGAAAACATCATCAAACTCCCCAAATCCTTGGAAAAACTTATGCGGCATTCTCGCAATCTCTTGCCACGCCTTCCCATTGAGAACCCAGATACCAATCCCCTTAATTATGTCAGGCCGATCCTGTTTACCAATCCCTCCCACCATAACCAGCTTCTCCTTCAAGTTCATCAGACGGCCACATGTAAGAGGGCAAGGTACAGGAATAAAACTCCTTATCAACAACCCATCAGGAGAACAAGAAGAGAGATTATATGTGATTAGACCATGACGATTTTCTGGTGCCCCGCCCCCAGTTGAGTAAATTAAGAAGTACAAAACCCCATCACAGATTACACTCTCATCCCCACCTCTCCATCCTGTCAGAACCTCTGTCAAAGAGGTCACCCACATCATTGTTTCTGAATCATAAATATGAACGGAGACATCCCATTGGAAAAAATTCCCAGTAACTTGCTTAGATCTCACAATTGAGATAGTATAACCATGTGACTTCCTGTTAACAGAAACTGCAAGTGCACTGTAATCAGAAAATCTCAAGCCAGGGGGGTCCTGAAGCTTCATGCGTGTTTTGGTAATAGGGTTGCAGACAAATAACTCAGTTCTACTATCATTGTCCATAAAGCAAACCAAACCACATGATGAAGCAATAAACCAATTAGATGTCTCAATGCAGGGGAGTTCAATGCCATACCACTTTCTAAGGATAGGATCATATGCATAACCAGTTGGTTCATTAGAGCTGGTAAACATAAAATACCAAGGTTTTTGTGATAGCACACGTGAAAAGTTCCATAGAAACCTTTTTGAACTAACAATCTCATACCACCTTTTGCACACACAACGTGCTCTGAAAATGCTTGCAACTGGTAGATAGGCTAATATCCGTTCCAACAGGTCATCAGGAAGAATCAAATCCACCGAAACTGCATTAGCTTCTTTATTCCCTTCGTCACTGAGCTCTGAGAAAGAATCAAACTCCCCAACCTCTCTTGCCATGTCATCAAGGGAATGGCTAAACCATGATGTTTCTCCCTCCATGATCAAGAAGATTAAACAGAAAAACCTGTATACACAAATTTAATGCGCAAAATCTTATCAATATAATATACCACATGAAATTATGTTAAAGGAGATTAGAGCCTCTTGCCAGTACATGAGTTACGGATAGTGAGACTAGCATCACCTGACAATGTATGAAATATGAAACCTGTGGTCTAAACCAATACAAGTCAGAGCCTGAGATCACATCAAAATTGATGAATCGGGATGGCATATCAATTCCAGATGTTAGGTGTAGTAAGTCCTAATTAGGATTGACGGATTAAAGACATCATAATCAGCAAACAGTACTGCTTTCTATCTGTCTGTAATAATTTAAAAGTTATATAATTACAGAAGAGAAATGAAACATGCTTCGGACTAATCAAAAGGCTACAAATAAGCAGAAATCAACATGTAGATCTCAGATTTAAGCCACAACCCCGTCAATGAATAGTTACAAGCCAAAAGGAGAAAACAAAAACACAAACAAAATCTATCCACCTTCCAAGATATTATTCCTTATTCCCATGGCAGAGATTTATATCCGGGATTGCCAGACCGATATCCATGTGGGAAACCTTCAAGCACGACATAAAAAAAAATGCAGCCAGAAATGATAAAAAAAAACTTCAAAGTTCAGACAGTCTAGGTGATTGAATACTGGAGATTCAATTATGAAAATCCCGCACCTCCAACTTACAGATATGATATATGTAGCGCAACAAAATCTTGTAAATGTCAGAAATTTCATTTCGTACCAAAATGAAAAAATTACACAACTAAGCAAAGGCATAGGAGATTGCGCCAAATGATGCAAACCCAGAAGGAAAATGGTATCAAATTAAAATGCATACCCAGAAGGTGAAGGTATCAGAAAAAAGAATACTTCTCTCAGCATCAAATGGCCAAGACTAATTCCAAAACTTTACTGCCCACATCCAACTACATTTGGAACAAAAAAGCCATGAAACAAACAACACCAAAATGATTATGGAAAAAATGAACTTCTGTTTAACCAGACTTCTTACATCAATGAAACTTCTGTTTTTTTACAGACAAAATAGCTTTTCGTATAAAAAAAAAAACATCATTGTATTGCAATCAAACCCTAAGAGAGATTTGTGATTGAAAAAAAAAAAGTTAGATGAAGAGCGATTAGTCCATAGATACCAATCAATCAAACATCAAAACCCCACAAACTAGAAAGCGATACATCAACAAACCAAACTTACACCTAACATTGGTGACACAAACAGATCAGTGAAAGCATAAAAACCAAGTTTTTTCACAAAAGCAAAAGCAGAAAATTTATTTCCGAAAACGAAATCCATCAAGCACACACCTTTAATTTGAAGCCTCTTCCACTGTCACTGACCAAATGGGTTTGCTTAGATTTGTTCGGGGACTCAATATTGACACCAGTTAAGAAATAAATGAGCCAAAGAATTGATCTTTCACCGACCGAACCTCCTTAAACAAAGCACCAGCTAAAACGGGAAGGGCTCTGCCCAAAAGAAGAAGATTTCCTTCAAATGGTAGACAACCATGAAATGGGCTACTCTAGATTTGGCCGGCAACCATGCCTCAGCTCAGCAAACCCAATTAGAAAGAGAGAGATTTTATAGAGAGAAGTGACTTCCGTTTCTTTTTCGATGTAACAAAAACGACAGGCAGGTAGTGAAGTGCGAAGGCGTTTTTTCTATAGGGTCTGCGTCTCTCTGTTTGTGTGTGTGTGTGTGTGTGAGAGAGAGAGAGAGAGAGAGAGAGAGAGAGAGAGGCGCGTGAGAGACTTTGAGTTTTGTTTTTGTGCACACAACATAGAGTGAGCTCGAGAGATGGGTTCTGTGGTTTTATTCAAGCATTTTATGGATTTTTAATGAGAGGAGAAGAAGAAGGTGACTTTTGGCCACGACACAACACAACCAAAAAAG